TATTAGTAACAGACCCTTGACTGAGTTATTTAAAAAGACAAACGAAATTACGAAGTACCTTACCGAGACTGTTGACGTTAAAGTCGTAGAAATGTGGGAATGTGAGTGGGGGAACCAGAAAAAAATGAACCCAACTATTAAAGACTATTTAAACTCTATTGACAAATCACAAAAGACACCGACACCGACCTATGGTAAGAAATGGCCCCTGACTGAAAAACAGATCATCGATTCTGTTTTAGACGACTCGTGTTTTGGACTGATAGAATGCGACATTAAAGTACCGGATAGTTTAAGACCACATTTTAGTGAGATGACACCTATTTTTAAAAATACGGACGTTACGCGCGATGACATCGGACCTTTTATGAGACAATACGCGATCGATAACAACTTATTAACTAGTGGTAGACGGACTTTAATCGGTAGCTTTACAGGGGAGAAAATTTTATTAGCGACCCCCCTTTTAAAGTGGTATTTAAATTATGGGTTGGTAGTCAGTAAAATTTATCAAGTCGTTGAATATAATCCGGTTTCCTGTTTTAAGACATTTGGGGATACAGTTTCAGACGCGCGAAGAAAGGGGGACATAGACGACAAATACGCGATAACTAGTGAAACAATGAAATTGTTAGGAAACGCGGCATACGGTAAAACTTTGACGGATAAAACACGACATGCGGACATGACCTACTGTAGGGCTAGGGATATAGGGGATTGTATTAATAATCCGCGATTTAAAAAAATGACAAAACTTACCGACGATGTTTACGAAGTAGAAACGTTAAAAAAGAAGATAGTTTGGGATCTCCCTCTTCAGATAGGCTTTTTCGTTTATCAGTACGCGAAACTTAGAATGTTAGAATTTTATTATGACTTTATAGACAAATATTTAGATAGAACCGACTTTCAGCTATGTGAGATGGACACGGACAGTTTATACTTAGCCTTAAGTACCGATGACTTGTTAAAAGCCGTAAGACCGGGACTAGAACACGAGTTTTTTGACATTTACGACAAATGGTTCCCCTCAGAAGTATGCGACTCACATAGACCACAATTTATAAGCGGCAAAGGCACGGCAGATAGTCATTGTCTAGAGTGTAGGGCTAGGAAAATTTATGAAAAGAGAACACCGGGGTTGTTTAAATTAGAATATGAAGGGGATGGGATGGTATCTTTATGTAGCAAGACGTACCTCTGTTTTGGTGAGTATAATAAAACATCAACCAAGGGCTTATCTAAAAATCACAACACACTAGGCAAAGAATCTTTCATGCAGGTCCTCACAACAAAGGAACCAAGTGGTGGGACAAACACAGGGTTCAGAGCATACAACACGGGGATATATACTTACACCCAACACAGAAACTCACTTTCTTACTTTTACATTAAAAGACAAGTAGACGCAGACAATGTGACAACATCTCCCCTAGACATATAAGACCTTTTAGTTTACCAATCGTGCCTTTAATGAGACTTTAATGTAAATATGTAAATAAGACAGAACCTTGACTGTATGCTGATGGGGTTGTTTTTATTCAATAAAAAACTTATTATATAAACGGTCTTTTTTAAATTTTTGATGTGAATTATTGATTTGTTACTTGTCCCTGAAAGTTAGGTAACTCGGTATCCTGTATAAGATGTATGACTGGAATCAAAATGAACCATTTAAAATACTGGATCCGAGTTGGAAATATCCCTTTACCGCTCTGATCGGTGCCCCAACCATTATCACAATTCGCCCTTCCCCTTGTCAGCAACCCCTTCCCCCTTCTCCCATCCCTAAGCTCAATACCAACCGATAGATAATCAGATCGTACCACTACCCACACTATTCCTTGGACAGACAAAGGATATAGGACAATCTTACAGACAAGTGTTTATTCAATTAATGTCACAACCCCCTAGAAACCACTCTAACAGACTGGGATACATAACTTGTAGACATCACTCCCCAATGAATATCCCCTTCCTAAACACATTGACATTTACTCTCAAAAGTGACAATGTTCCCATCCAAACTTTTAAATCTTTCCATATACAAATAAAAACATCCACATCCAACTTTGAAATCTGCCTCGGTGAAAACTTCACCGACCCTAGTATAAACCAGCCACCAACCGACTCTAAGTCATGGATGGACCGAATTTGAAACCTGTCTTGTTGAAAACTTCATCGACCTGAGTATGAACTCACACACACACTCACACTCAAACACACAAACACACAAGCACAAAGCGAACTTGTAAAGACAAATAATATTGCATCATTGAAAACTTCACCGACCCTCGTATAAACTCTACACCAACCAACAACAAAACATTGCCTAGGTGAAAACAAAAAACCTATGATACTGTCCGTATAACTGTTAGTGAAAAGCACGGGACCCAACCGGGGGAAAAATCGATTAACGTGGTAACAGGTGTTCCCACACTTAACGCTGGCTTTGCGTTAATTACCATACCCCCCGGTGGGATCGCTTCGCGAACCCACATAAATCACCATGACCCGTCAAATCGAGCGGGGAAACTCGGTGAAGCATAACAAAATTTAATTAGGTGTGATGGGCCAGCGGCTGCGATCAATACATTCCCATTAAAACGGGCAGCGGTGAGAAAACTTCGCGGGCGGGTCGATACGTAACAGATGTGGCTGATCGTTATCTTTAATGGATGTTCTATTTTTGTAACGTTCGTTGTGTTGCTGAATGGTCCCTATACAAAGTCCACGCTAGTGTTAGTCTTTTATTTAAAACATATATACAAGCAAATAAACAAACCAACAAATTAAACAACAAAGAAAAGAAATATATCAAATAAATAAATTAAACAAAGTAATTAAAATCAAATTACGTAACTAGTTAATAATAATTTAACTAATTATAAAATAAAATTAAATTAAAAATAAACAAAATAAAAATAATTAAAAAGTAAACAAATAATCAAATTACGTAACTCGTTAATAAAAATTACACAATATAAACAAAGTAATTAAATTAAACAACAAGTAAACAAACAAATTAAACAAAATAAAAATACAATCAAAGTAATTAAATTACGTAACTCGATAATAAAAAATTAATTAAAAATTTAAAAACTCAAACAAATAATCAAATTACGTAACTAGTTAATAAAAATTACAAAATTAAAATTTAAAATTAACAAAATTAAAATCCAATTACGTAACTCGTTAATAAAAACTAATTAAAATCAAATTAATTAAATTCAAACTCATTAAAACTCATTAAAAAACGCATTAAAATTACGTAACTAGGTCACTGATTACGTCACAAGGTCACCGGTGGTGACCTACTGACCTACTCCGCATCCGCATCACCCACCCTAGGGTGGGTGAGTATTTTACTATATCTCATTGTCCCTGCGGCTCACCCACCCTCACCCACCTTCACCCAGGTGGGTGAGTATTTTACTATATGTCATTGTCCCTGCGGCTCACCCACCCTCACCCAGGTGGGTGAGTATTTTACTATATGTCGGTGTACCTCCTGCTCCCCCAGGGAGTATTTTACTATATCTCGTTGTCCCTGCGGCTCACCCATTCACCCTGGTGGGTGAGTATTTTGCTATATGTCATTGTTCCTGCGGCTCACCCAGGCAGGGAGTATTTTCCTATATAACCTTTGTTCCTGCTCCTGCTCCTGCTCCTGCTCACCCATGATACCCAAAAGGGACCTAATATACTACTATTATATATTTGTTTTGAAAATTAAGTAGATTTTTTGTGTTATTAAAGTGTGGGGACGTAACGCGACCCCATGGACCACTAGAAGACTGTGTTTTTACGTGCAGAGGGGTAACTACTGTATTTCGAAAAATTAACAAGTAGTGTCACAAACCCGAGGGGGGGGGGGGGGGGCTGTTCACACCAAGCGACGCCATTTGGATTTTCACAGCAAATAGGAAAACAGCAAATTTTACAAATAATAAAATGGGAGGGGTGTCGGCGGAGTGTCACGAAAGCAAAAATGTAAATTTATGGGAAAAGGGATGGTGGTGGGTGCGCACACCTTGAGTTATCGCATCGGGTGACACTCAACCTAGTGACGCCACTGTATTGTATAGGAACCATAAAATAACTATCTGACTTGTGGTCATTAAAAACATGAGGTCTCTACCGTATCTACATGGGTGTGATTTAAGGACCTAAATAATTTTCTATTAGTACAGGCATTAAGAAAGCTTGTCACATTTGTCATTACACCTCACCTCTCTACAAATCCACTAAATGGGGGGGGGGGGTAACTAAGCAATCAGATAACAATTCACGACTAAGTAAACAGAGACAACAGGATGTTTACTCCCGCTGCGCGCTGACTTCTCTGCGCATCAGACGTGTATCGCCAGCTCGACCAAAGATGGGTACCGTGCAGATATAGGTAAGGATGTTAAAGGTTAGAGGTACCTGACTTGTCAACAGACAAACATATTGTTTTCATTTTTTATGAGAAAACTGTCGTAATAGGGCGCTGTGTTCTCTCATTATAAAACATATGCTTGACAGTTGAGTGCTTTTTAACACAGTGTTATTACCCTTGAAGTGAGATGGATTGAAAATGTGTTTATTATCAATACGGGTTTTAAGAGAAAAGTTTGGGGGGAAAATCAGTTTTTAAGTCAGTTATTTCTAACATAATTTCAATAGTTTAAAACATAATAGTCCGCAATACAGAGTCTGACCTAAATACCTTACCATGTTCTGGCTTTAATACCTGACCAACCACATGCCTGGCTATAAAATCATTTTCTGTACAGTGTTTCTTTCTGACAATTTTCTCCGAAAAGGGGGGGGGGGGCAATTGAAACTTTGGGGGGGGGGCCGGATGTTAATTTCCGGGCCTATATATTTTGTATATAAATTATAAATTTATTCTATTTCATTCGGGGGATGGAGCACCCCCCACCCCCACACACTTCGAAGAGATGCCTGAAAGAAACTCTGTTTCTGTGTGAAAGACCCTAACAAATTCAACTTACCAAGGGTGAGCTCAATGACTGCCAGATCAGCGTTGATGATTTCTATAGATTCACGAGTGGGCGACTGGAGCGGCCTGTTGATTGGATGCTCGGGCACCAGCTGATGCATGCGCAGTCTCCGGCAGTAAATGGCGGCTGCCTCGGGTTCTAGAGCGATGAGCAGCTGCTCGGGGAAGTTAGGGCTGGCCATACCCGCCTGAAACATGGGGTAGAATGTATCGTATATATCATTCTTATTGCGTATAATGTATCTTATATATCACTCAGCTATCATATAATGTATCATTTAGTTCTGGTGGTCAAGTGTGTTGGTGCTAACTTGAAAGTTAAACGTTAGAATCCCGGCTGCAAGTAGAGTTACATTTTAATAAGAATATATATATATATATATATATATATATATATATATATATATATATATATATATATATATATATATATATATATATATCACATTTGTTCTTTATATTGTATGCTGTTGAACAAGCAATTCCAAACCAGAAGTTTAAGAGTTCAGACCTCTCTGATAAATTAGAATTCATACCGTTTTCAAGTGCATACAGAAATATTAAGTTTCATATTTACTCAAGAAGGCTAAGCCTTTTTACAGATAACACACGTACGTAAACAATATTTTAAAATCTTAGTAAAAAAATGTACACCTCACTGAGTACCTTCATATATTTAAAAAAAATGGAACAAAATTATTAATTAAATTCGAATGGCCCCTTGTGCCACGTACCTCGTAGGCTGCTTGCCGCATAAACTGTTTGGCTGGAGCCTTCCATATGGCTGGGACAGTGATGACCCACCTGATGTCCTCATTCAACAGCTCCGTCCCCGACTGGTCACTCAGCTGCTGCAGGGCGTGGTTCTTGAAGAACTCAAGAGCGAAAGAGAAAATCTTGAGCGCTGAGAACCTGGCTCCATTCACAGCCACCAGCTTCGTGTCACGGTTCAAATCCTGAGAAGGAAAATATAGTTAACAGTTTAAACATATTTTATAGTGGTTTATTGGGTGCGTGTACGGAAGATACTAAGATAAGAATACAAGCTAAGTTAATCTTTCGGACCACGCGATATATGGGGCTGATAGAGTTATTCCGTTTTAGTAACATCGGATTATAAAGGGAAAGTCTGGTCAGCGAAGCGTTAGCTCCAAGGAAAAAAGTCTGCAACGTGTATTTTGTGTGCGTATTTTCCTAGGGGCGGTGTGGCCTAGAGATAGAGAGCTAGAATTCTAACCCGAAAGTCTCAATATCGAATTCTGGTTAAAATCAGTAGAACGTCCTTTAGTCCACCCAGCTGTGATAGGTGTCTAACTCACGTTAGGGAAGCAAAGGTGGCTGGGTTTAGTGATGACCACACTATCTTTTCATATGCCGAGGTCATTGAAACGGATGAACTCTACTTCATCTGCCTATGTGTCTTGGGCACAAACGGGAAAAGATGATGATGATATTATATTTTACAAATTGACTGCGCGGTAAATTCAAAACTATTGCGCGGCCGCGCTACTGCACAGCTTATGGGGAACATTAATCATCAGTATGCCAAAACAGTAAAGAATGATGACATTTCATCACAATTTTTGAAACACGCAAAACTGACTATAGTTATCATAAATCCCTAAAAAAATATTAAAAGACTAAAAAGAATTAAAACAAGACATATTTCTCAAAGTACAGAAAAAAACAAGACAATAGACGTCAGTGATAAAGCATCAAACTACGCACACAAAGCTATTAATATCCGGAAATAGAAAGTGTCCAGCGATATCTGGTGAGATTAACCGGTGTCCGCCATTAAATCCAGGTACGTTCATAAAACAGTCTTGACGCTGGCATTATCTTCCCCGTGACCACTACAGACTACTCACAATGGTTCCACAAACCAGACCCTCAAGTAACCTCTTGTGACCTCAGCAACCTCTGTTGTCTCGATACGGGCTGGTTATCTCATTTGTATAAACTATAAACACATGCCAATTAGCACTGAACGCACTTCATATATATATATATATATATATATATATATATATATATATATATATATATATATATATATATATATATATGAGTGTTGTTCATGCAGTCAGATATATATTGGTATAGTTTTGAAATATCCAGAAAACCCAGAAATAGGTTACAATAATATTTCAGTGTTTACTACAAAACAAGTCCATTTATTTAAGCCTACATTTTTAAAATACATTTTTATATGGAGAGCAATTATGTTTGGTGGTAGTAGGTACTAATATAAACTGTGCAGTTTTAGTATTATATACTAAACACGAGTTTATTCATTTATCTTTTGTTTTTTTAATAGCTCTGGGGCATATTTTTGAGACAACATTTAGTCTATATATTTGCCTGTTTATGTTAGCCTCTTTTTTTTTTTTGAATAGCCTATTGTGAACACATTAATGTAACCCTATAACCAGTAATGTATAACAATCGTACTGAGTAATTGCTTAGTTAAGGACAGCAGCTGTTACAGGTAAATACTAGCATTTAAAAAACATTTTAAGTGTACATTTTTTAATTAGTCCAGGTGAAACTACATTAGGTATACTGACACACATTCCATTTCACTACACCCACCACCCACTTTATAAATTTACACCGAGCTTTGAAGTTGGCTTGGTATTTAGACACACCTTTTAATTTATCGTTACATTTTCTTAACTATATATTACTTTTTATTCGCATTGTTTTTATGGACTATTTAAAATACAGATCTAAAAACACGGTCATCTAACGAAACAATACAAGCAAGGATTGTGTTCGCATGGTGTCATAAATTGTCTAGAGTTGTCGTTCCTGTGGTAAGATAACGTGTTATGCCGACCCTAATAATCTCATTCCTACATTCTTTAGGGGACAGGCGGGGGAGAGGCCATGCAAGGGGGAGGGGTTTGTAAAAAAAAAGGAGGGGGGGGGGATAGTTAAGGATGAAGGGAGACTATCTGACAGGAGACTATCCGGGGAGGATAAGTAAAAAAAACAGGGGGGGGGGGAAGGGTTAAGGATAAGGGGAGACTATCTGACAGTAGTATATCCAGGGGAGGCTATGTAAGTGTTTGTGTGTGTGTGGAAGGGGGGGGGAGGACGTATGAATTAGGGGAGAGCGTCTAAGGGACGGGCTATAAAAAACAACAGGAGACTAACAGACAGGAGACAAACACAGGAGACTACATTAGTTGGGGGGGGGGGGGGGTAAATGTGAAGAGTAGACGTGGTGGGATTGAGGGGAGACTACACGTGTGAGGGAAGAGGTGGAGTATTAATGAGGGGAGAATATCCGAGGTGAGACTAAAGTAGGGGAGGCTAGAATGGAGTAAAACTAAATAAAAGAGGATGGTTTGAGAGGTGGGATGATATCGGAGTGAGAAAAGAAAACTTTAATAAAGAAATAGGGATGACTGAGGGAAATATCTAACGAGGCTGAGAGGAGGTAGTATAAGAGTATAACAGGGATATATGAGTACGAACGAAAAGTAAAGGGAGGCTATCTGAGTAAGTTGGGGGAGACAATCCCCATGTTTTTGACCTATAACTGTTGTGTTATTTGAACCACGCGAAGAATTCAAGACAAACGACATGACGATGAACTAAGACTGTAGTACTGAGGCTGTAGGGTGGGGCTAAACTTGAGCTGCTATCTTTATCAGTCTTAACCTACACACTAAGACACGTTCACACGACAGAGATATACCAGCTAAATAATGTGAAGAAAAAAATTACATTCATAACGTATTTACCGAAGTATTTATTTTTGTTTTGTTCATAATGCAATGAACGTTTATCTTAAAATACGATTTGTTTTCTAAGTAGTGATTACATAACTTTTATCTTAAAATACGCCTCGTTTTGTTTTCTAAGTAGTCGTCACGTGATCTTTAATCAAACCAAGCTTGGAATATTAATCTTATATAATTTAAATAAGTATGAGGGATGTGCACATAGACCCTATGTTTCTAATACTTTAATATACATATTAAGTTAGTGGTGTCATGTTAGTGCAATAAAAACCAAAACAAAGTGATAGTATGAAGATTGTAGGAAGACAAAGACTAATTTGATGGTAAAAAGAAATGTAAATCGAGTTATGAATAAGATCCAGATTTCGATGCAGACAAGGACCCAGATTTGGCGGCTACGTTTATATGAGTTTTAATATTTTTAAGATTAACCTAACTTTCTAGTGCTTTAAAAAAATCTGGATAAAGAACTCAATTTTTTTTTTGAACAGCAGACTTAAGCTCCAGCTGTGAGACGAATCCAGGTGTCGTAAGAAAAATCCGACCTCCCTACGAGCGAGCTACGAGAAATATAAAATTTATCCACGTTCATTGTCTCTTATTCAAGGCCACGCAGACTTAAGTTAGCAGACGTAGGCTTAGTAATCTTAAACCAATCAAACGAAAAATAAGCTCACGTAATGCTATCAGGAGTAAGCCTATCATAAGTAAAACAAGCTTAGGAGACGTACGTAAATTTAGCAGACGTGTCTATCAGATAATTCTAGTAGACATAAAACGAGCATACGTAAGAAAAGCAGACGTAAGATTAGCAGACGGATGTCCAGCTGACTAAATAAACTAGCAGACGTAGGCCTATCATAGCAATATCATCAACTTTTACAATTATATAACATCATTAAACTAGTTCCAATTTTATAAATCTTGGAAAAAAACTCAAGGCGTGACGGGGTTGGAGATTTTAGGGTATTGTATAATATGTATATACATATGTTTTGGAACATACAGAGGAACACTACACAATTTTTTTTAATGCTACCCACTACATTTGATTTGTTGTCAGATCTCGCGAGAATTGACTTAATATCGCATGATCTTTGATGAATCTCGCGAGAATTGACCTAATATCGCATGATCTTTGATGGAAATCTTTCCACGGCGTGTCAAGGGGAGACTAGACTAGCACTCTGGACCACTCGGGGTCGAGTGAGGGGACGATGTTTCGGTGATTAAAACACCCTTCAGGTGAGGCTGAACAATTTCAGACGGACAAGTCAACAGTACAGCTACAGGCTAAAGTCACCGTAGACGATTTATTGAGGCGTTTAACAAGATGTAGAGGCCTTATCAGTTCAGATGGTCAGTAAAAAACGTCTGGTTAATTTTTTTTTTTGGCGGGTAGGGGAGATAACCTAAATAAAATCATAGTCATGAAGGTAAAGAAAGTTAGTGAATGGGGACGGGGGTGGGAGGGGGTTGGTTTGTCTTAGCAAGAACATTTTTCTATTTTTTAAAGTGCTTTCTGATAACACGAATAGCAATGGTGAGTAATAACACAATGGGACTTTACAATGGAATGTCGTGTTCTTTACTTCTTTTATAAGTACCCTCGTCACGGGGCTTAGGTCTTTACATGTGGGCAATTCTTCGACATGGCTGGTGGCTATGTTCCCACGAGTATTTCAACCTGCTTCGTACCTTTACATTCAAAATGATTTATTCTTCAACATCAAAGCACGAGTAGGGATGTTCTTGGCTACTAATGTCAAAGTTCAGAAACCGGAAAGATGTGTTGGGCTACCAATTTCACGGTCTGCTGTTATTCAAATATTTGTCAAAATTTAACCCTGATTCATACAATTGTACTCAGTGTTGAAAAACTCCAACAAAAATGTGCAACTAAACCATGATTTTTTAAAATCCCTGCCGTTTCATTATTCTCAATTTTACAATTTCTATGTATATTAAAACAAAACAAAAACAAAACTATTCCAATATAGATTTCAATAAGATGTATGAATCTGATTAAAAACAATCCAGACAGTCGTATATATTTAAGAAACCAAATAGCCTAACCGTACTTATATTTTACCTTTTCTCAACAAAGAGTTTTAAAATCAACTAAGACAGGGGTCTCCAAACTTTTCAGACCGAGGGCCACATTAACTATCAAATTTCAGTTTGGGGGCCAGTTTCTTCCAGGCATGCCTTTGATTTCTCTGGGCAAAGTTCCTCAACCATCACAAACAAACGATTTTTCTTTAGACAAAAAGATCTCCGCGGGCCGGATGAGAGGACTTCGCGGGCCGCATCCGGCCCGCGGGCCGTAGTTTGGAGACCCCTGAACTAAGACAACAGTTTAAGAGACATTTATGAAAGCAAACATTGCACGGCAAGTACACCTGCGACGCTGTGCATTGTTCGCGGTCTGCGCCTTTTGCATTTCTCATACAGATGTTATATAGGTCATGTTTAAATTGCAGTATATTCAAAGTCTTTGTCTACAAAAATACAAATAGGAAATGTAAAAGGAACAATAATAAAAAAAATCTTCCAAAGCGAGACGTGCTATAAAATATGATCAATCACCTAGCGAGAAAATTGAAAATTAATCCAACGAATATATTTTTTTTTACTGGGTACGTCTGGCTTTATGGATTTTTTTTTACTGCTGTCTAGCCAAAAATGTAGGTCAGACTTGTAGGATTTAGCTTTAAATGCCATTTACGTTTCTTTTACCTATTTGATTAACAATGTCGTAGATTTCTTTTCTTTTCAAGTTGAAAGGTTACTCTATTTTTTTTCTCTTAAATTTTGAAGCTTTTATTTATTTGTTTAAAAAAACATTAAAAAATCTGGTTTTTAAAATATCATATAAATTCTATAGCTTAATCTTATGTCTGGCTTCAAAAAATGGTGAACCTCAAGGAATTACTTGAAAGTTGTTTTTTTGGCTTCATGTTATAGTTGTTTTTCTATTAGAATTCAATGCTGTAATGATAGTCTCATTTATTCTGTAAGTGTTGACATTAACATTGAACCCAAGCATAGTTTATGTGACGGTGAGATAAAAACATGCATGTAATAAAAGCTTAAATAGATTCAACTTTAACAAATGGGAAAAATAAAGTATGATGAAAAAAGCACTCTCTTGATATGGAGATTTTAAACTTTTGTGAGAGAGGCCGAGATTTACAAGGCCTACAAGGGACCTTGAAAACACAAGTATTTCCTCATATTATAATACGTATGAAACACATCCGTTTTATTATTACAACCTTTCAGTGATAGGTTACTGTAATTATGTAATAGGATATTGCGATTTTACTATAACACTGAATTATTGTAGTAGAGACACCTTACAACAGAAAAAAAGATTAGCCTTACTAAAACATGTGATGCAATGTTTGAATGTTTGTTTTTCTAATTGCAAGGTGTGTAACCCCCTGAATGTCAGGTTTGTCACTATGTCTGGGTTTTTTTTCTACGCTGAACTGATAGACAGGGATCAAGTGAGACAAGAAAAATACATTAAAGTCTTCAGACAACGCTGAATGCATTAAAGTCTTCAGACAACGCTGAATGCTCTCGTGACTGCTATAGTTTAGTTACCCTAACACAGTCTAAAGGGGACTAAGATTTCAATGTATTTTTACCAACGCATATAGAAGGTTAGCGTGGCTGATTAGTACATTAACATAGTCTAAGGTTACTACGACTGTTATTTGTTATGACGAAATTAGAAGTAGCCACAAGACAGTACACATAGAATCAGGCAAACTGCGACACAATGATACAGTAATTATAAGGGAAACAGGACTGATGCTTGATTACACATGCACACAAAAGTGGGGCTAATTAGAGAGGAAAAATGGAAAGATATAAGCAACGCAGTAAAGATTTATAACGTATGGTGCACACTGCAGTATAGCCCGATCGCTTACCTCAATAACGTTTTATGGACTTACCAAAACAATAGCACCAATGACGTAGGGTACATATACCAAAATAATAACATCAATGACGTAGGGTACACAATCCACGACAACATCAATGACGTGTGGTACAGTACCAAGACAACTGCATCAATGATTTAGGTTCATATACCAAAACAACAACATCAATGACGTACCACGACAACAGCATCGAAGACAACATCATGACTTACCGAGTTGTGGTGCAGCTCCATCTTGAAAGTGCTGAAGTACATCCAATGCTTGGCCTCGACTGGCACCAAGTTGAGGTAATTGCTGCGAGCGCTGTAGCCGAAACTGTGGAACTCGCCTTTGGGGGTCAGCAGCAGGGAGGTCAGTGTCTTTTGATTGACCACACCTGGCTCCTCCCCTGCCCACCTCCTCATCATGTACACGCTGCTGGGGTCACGGACGAAACTGGAAAGTTGGAAAAAATAACAAAGAACTGTAGTTAAAAACAAGGGGAAAATGTGTTTCCACTGCTGAATAAATGAAATATTTTTTGCCGTGAAATGTACAGGAAAAAATAACCCAGTTATTTCAGTGTGGACAGCATGGTGAGATGGACAAGCTAACAACTGCTAACCTCATAGTCTCGAGTTCGTACGTCTGTAGGTTGTTCCTACGTACACCTAGCTCTGATGAGTACCTGACTCACATTATGGAAACTAAGGCATCTGGGCATTGTTCTGACCTTACTAACCCCCCCCCCCCCCCCCGTATACAGACAGATGTCATTGAAACAGATGAACTCTACTTCATCATATCCATGTGTCCTAGACACGAGCAAATTAACATTATAGTCAATTATTCCAGTAAAGTAAAAGTACCTGAAGGCGTATCCACTGTGTGTTGTTCCAAAATCAACAGCCACCACGACAAAATGTCGAAGTTGTTTGTACACGACACTCTCTCTTCTGCTGTCAACATCTTTCTCTACTCCTGTTTCAGAAGAGGAAGCCGCACGTGCAGCCTGTTCTTTATCGTCCAGGTCGACGTTAGCGTCAGGGATCTCAAGAGATCCATGTTTGCTGTCGCCGTCGTCAGGAGCTTGAACGTCTTGCCTGTCTTGTTTAGGGACAGATATTGCTGCCTGCTTAGGCTCGGGAACATCTTGTGAGATGTCGTCTTCCCGATGGTACTGGCCGTCAAAGCGACACTGGTTATTGGCCAGTTCCTTCTCTAGAAGGTCGTTTTCTTTCTTTGAAGGTGAACGGAGCAAAGGGAGAAATTTGGGGAATTTCCCTGTTTTTTGTGACTTAGGGGATGTTGGTGATTTGACTAGGATGGCGTCGCCTGACTCAGTCTGTTGCTTCTGTTGATCTATCTCGATCTTAAGCGATAATTTCTCCTTAGCCTGCGAGTCTTGTCTTTGTACAGAAGCATCAGCGTGGGAGTCTTTGGCAGTTTCTTTGCCAGGTTTATCTTTGCTCTCCTCGTCAGAGGAAGAGCTAGAAGAGGAAGAATCTTTCTCGCCCTTTTTGCTGAGTTTTCTCTTTGGCTTGGATTTACTGGTGGGAGATTTTTTCTTGTGACTGTCGGGTTTCTTTGGTGCGACTTTTTCGTTACCGTCTTTTTGGGCTTGTGACGAATCTTGGGCAATTTCTTGCCCTTTGCTTGTTTCTGTACTCGCTGCTTTGGTGTGTTTTGAGTCATCACGACTGAAAAACTTCAAAAAAGATCCTCGTTTTTTGTTTCCTTTTTCTTTCTCACTTTTCTTCTCTTTCTTTTTCTTTCCCAAATCCGCAGTGGTGTCTTTAGCATCCTTGCTGTTGTCTGTAGTTTTAGGTTCTACGATTTCTAGTTTTTTCTCAGCATCAGCTGTAACATGAATGACCTCGACCTTCTCTACCTTGACTGAAGGGCTTTCATGGTCTCCACTTTCTGAGGATTTGTCTGACTTGCTATCGCGACGTGAAACTTCAAAATCTGTTTTAATTTCTGGTAGTGAGAAAACATGTTCATCGTTTGGTGCTACTAGGCCAATCTCCACGGATGGCTTCTCTTTCTCCCCGTCTGATTGGCTTGAAGAGGAGCTCGAGTGACTCCACGATCTCTTCTTCAGAGGGTGCGAGGAAATATCTGAATCAAAGGTCAAGCTCGTGTCTGTTTGAAAATAAAAACCAGAATCTGATTTTTCTCGAGGATCCGGACAAAGTCTGTTCCACATTTCACTGAGTGATTCTTCAGGCACTGAATTATCTGGTCCAATTAAAGATTCTTCTTGCATTTCTAAAGGCGTAGATCTACCAGAGCTCGAAGATGAAGAAGATTTGCCCACATTCATGTCGATATCCTTTAGCTTGATTGTCTCGAGTGCTTTCTTCACATCGTCATCTGAAGACGAGCTTGTGGAAATGTTGTCGCTGCCGTCCTTTCCTCTGGGTTCAGTTTCGAAATTAAGAGACCAATCACTTGGGGCTGAAGCAGCGAAAATAACAGCGTTCATGTCACCCGTGGTCATCTCTATTTCTTTCGGCTTTATGGAACGATCTGTGTTCTGTATATTCGGAATATCTGCAGCTGGTTCTACAGTCACTGATTTGACAGGAACATCCATAGATAACTCGCCGTTTACGGGTATCGAATTTTTGGGACCTTCTCGATTCCAGAATTTAAAATTGATTCCTTTTTTCTTTTTGTCTGGTTTTACGTCATGTTTTACGTCTGGTAGAACTACATGATGTTTATCCCCTTTAACTTCCGCGGGTTCATTATTTGATTGTTTGCTGGTTTTCTTCTTGGATTTATCTTTTGATTCTGATTGACTTGATGAAGAACTAGACTTGCTTGATTTTCTGTCTTTAGATGACGCTGAAGATATCGTCGAAACATTGGTCAAAGTTGTATCATTTTCTGATTTATCTTTAAGATCTGGACAAAGCTTGTCCCATAAATCACTCAGTGATTCTTTTTGTGTCTTTACATCGAAACTGAACGATTCTTCTTTAACCGCTTGAGGTGTTGATTTACCCGAAGATGAAGAAGAAGATGATTTTATCGAATCTCTTTTCAGGGTTAAATCCTTCTTTTCTGAGGCTCCTGTTTGGCTGGGTCCGGGTTCTGTGTTGGAAGAAGAGTCTGTCGAGGAGTTGGACACTGATTTAGCAACTGTTTTATGTTCTTCGGGGTCTGATTTACCAACTGGAGTTGATGTTCTAGGCGGAGGTCTTTCAGTCCGTTTAGGAGATTTGTCCTGTTTGACATCAACTTTAACAGATGGGGTATCAACTTTTAGTGATGGTATATCAACGCTAACAGATGGGGTTTCAGCTTTCAGAGTTGGTGCATCAACTGTAACAGATGGGTTTTTAACGTTAACAGGTGGCATATCAGCTTTAACTGATGGTGTATCAACCTTCAGAGAGGGCTTATCAACTTTCAAGGATGGTGTATCAACTTTCAGTGATGGTGTATCAACTTTCAGTGATGGTGTATCAACTTTCAGTGATGGTGTATCAACTTTCAGAGATGGTGTATCAACTTTCAGTGATGGTGTATCAACTTTCAGTGATGGTGTATCAACTTTCAGTGATGGTGTATCAACTTTCAGTAATGGTGTATCAACTTTCAGTGATGGTGTATCAACTTTAAGTGATGGTGTATCAACTTTACCAGATGGCTTGTCAAAGTTAACAGATGGTGTATCAACTTTCAAAGATGGTGTATCAACTTTCAGAGATGGCGTATCGACATTCAGAGAGGGCGTATCAGCTTTCAGTGATGGTGTATCAACTTTCAGTGATGGTGTATCAACTTTCAGTGATGGTGTATCAACTTTAAGAGATGGTGCTTCAACTTTCAGCGAAGGCTTATCAACCTTAACAGATGGAGTATCAGCTTTAACAGAAGGTATTTCAACCTTCACAGAAGGTGTTTCAACTTTTACATTTGTCGCTTTTTCATCTTGCTTTGGCTCAGTTTGCTTCTTTTTCTTTTTAAACGGCCAACTAAACAACTTGCTTTTTCTTTTGGACGGTGATTGTTCTGGTGGGGATTCGGGTGAAGCCTGAGCTTTAATATCCACACCATCTTCCTTTTTCCCAGACATCCTTATCTCGACTTTACCATCATCAATGCCCGCAAGTGTAGGCCCTTCTGGTTCTTTAGCTGTGATCTGTAAAGTTTTAGAAGGAATCTCATGTACATTCTGTACCTGGATCTGAACGTCTTTGTTTACAAAGGGAATTTCAGTTGGAGAAATTATTTCATTCTTCTGTGGCAATGTCTGCTCGACTAGAACTGCTAGTGTAGGCTTTAGTTTGATATCTTCTGGTTTACTGTCATCAAGTGTCTCTTTTGGTTTAATAATGTCCTTGGTTTTACTCTCATCATCCGAAGACGACGAAGAAGAAGATGATGAAGATGAATGACGTTTTTTAGAACTTCTCTTTTTGGGTTCGCTGTTTTGAAAAGATACGTTTTCGTAGAGATTCATGTCTGGTTCATGCTTGTTGCCCACGTGATTTGAGAGTTTATCAGAGAGTGATGACCCGTCTGGTTTGACCTGTACACCACAGACTGCATTGATAGTCTCCTCGCTCCAATCATCGTGTTGTGTGTCGGTTTCGTTATTGACTTTGATTGGTTCAAATCTAGGTGTGTCATATTCACACTGCTCTTCAAGTCCATTCAACGGTGTTACGCTAGCAATGTTTACATAAACACCATCTGTCTCGTTTGTGAATACGTCGTCTGGTAACGTTTTGACGTCAGATGCTACATTACCAATAACAGGACATGTTAGACTTGCATGTGTATCGATAAAAACACTTTGTTCTGTTGGTTTTTCTAGATTTGTCTTACCCACTGTGATAGCATCTTTCTCCACAAACACGTATTTCTCTTCTCTCTCTGCACTTGTGTTTGTATAAGGCAACTGGTTGTCTGAAGCTTTAGTACTGGTGATATCCTTATGGTTAACTTTGTTATCTAAATGTCCTATTGTGTTGGCGTATTCTACAATTTCAACAGGGGCTTCTTGATCCTGATGATGAGAATCGTGTTCAGAGGAATCGCTGGAGGAAGAAGAGCTTCGTGACACTCTCGCCTTATGCTGGTCTTGATCTCCACTGGGGTCAAATCTTATCTCTGGTAAAACTGGTGTCTCGTTTAGGCCGGGGCCGTGGACGGTATCACTTGAAGACGAAGATTTACTTGACAGTTTGGTTTTCTCCTGTTTAGTACTAAGGTCAAACGTGAGTTTAGGTACCTCGGGATAATTGGCATTATTGTCAGCATCATGATCGGTATCAGACGATGAATTGCTTGACATTTTATCCATCTCATTCTCTTGTATCTCGTTGATGACGTACTGGCCAGTGTGATGGCCAGATTCACTAGAAGATGAGGAGCTACGTGAAAGGTTAGGTTTCTCGTGCTCACTGCTGACGTCAATGCCTAGCTGTAGCTCGTGATGCCTGGCATCATGGTCAGCAGAATGGTCAGCTGAATGGTCAGCTGAATGGTCAGTGTCGCTTGAGGACGATGAGCTACGTGAGAGTTTGGTTTCCTTGTGTACAGCACTGAGGTCAACCATTACTTGGGGTACTTCGTGATGACTGGCATCAGCATCATGGTCAGCATCATGGTCAGCATGTTGGTCAGCATCGCTCGAAGACGATGAGCTACGTGACATTTTACCTACGTCTTTCACTAGCACCTCATCGATAGCAGGTTTTGATTCAGGTAACTCATCAGCCTCTTTTTCTAAAGACTCGCGCTCAGATTCACTAGAAGATGAGGAACTACGAGAGAATCTGTCTTTGCTTTTTTTGCCACTTTTAGTAATTTCAATCTTTGGTGCAGGTAATTCAGGTAACTCTTTATATCTGTCATCGTCTCCTGCATCACTCGAAGATGAAGAACTACGTGAGACTCTAGTCTCGCTTTTCCCATACTTGATGTCGACCTTTGACTGAGGTAGTTCATGAACCTTCTTGTGTCTTGCATCATGCTCGTCATCGCTAGATGAAGAAGAGCTGCTGGAAAGTTTACGTTTTGATTTCTCCCCCTTAGATTTCCTGTCCACACTAGACTCGGGTAGGTCGAGAGCCTGGATCTGTTTGAACAAAAGTTTGGGCGAGCTGACTGGGCTGGAACATTCCACAACTACACAAGTCTGGTCTGGCTGTACTGTGACGCACTGGATCGTTGTTTCTTTGGTTTCTTGCGGTTGGTGATCCATCTTAGTTGGGACTTGTTGCTCAGTGTAACGAGCGTCTTTTTGATGTTCCTGTTTAGATGGAACAAGTTGCAGGATTTGTTGCTGAGTTTCGTCTGGGTGTTCCTTTTCTTTTAAAACAAGTTGCTCACTTTGTTGCTGTGTTTTATCGATATACTCCTGTTTAGTGGGAACAAATCGTGTCTGTTGCAGAACTTCTTCGTAATGTTCCTCTTTAGCTGGAACAGGTTGCACAGTGTTTTGCAAATCTTCTTTCTGATGCACCTGTTTGACTGGAACAAGTTTCTCAATGTGTTGACTTTCTTTTTGGGGTTCCGTTTCTGTAGGCACTGCTTGTGCTTGTTCGTGGCGATCGTGCTGGATAGGAACAAGTTGCACAGCGTGTTGCAGAACTTGTTCCGGTTGACTTTCTACAGTATGAGGCACATGTTTCTCAACCTTTTGTTTTAACTGCTGGGTTGTCAAAACTTCCTCACCGATGGGGTGCTGACACGTGATGTTATGCTCGTGCACGGTGAGGTTCGGGATTTTGATAATATCAATTGATTCCGCTTCCGGTTCTGGTTCCGTAACAAACGTCACACGGTAAGAACTTTCAATGACCTCGTACCTTCTGGTTTCTGTGACCTTGTACTCTGTGGATAAATTGGATACTGTCACGGCATGGAATAGCTCCTTGGATTTTTTTCCTGATCCATTTGAGCGGTTCAAAAATGTTTTGGGGTCCAGGTATTCCACGCGTTTCCCGTCTGACCTGATATAGATGTTTGGATTAGGCTGGTCCACGGATGTCCCATCACTCGGGGAAGTGGTCTCCCATGGTGTTTTAGCGTCGAGAGTTATCTTCCCACATTCGATCTCAAGTGTATTATTATATGATGCATCTACTTCATCGCTTCCTGTACGTGCTGACTCATACTTGCGGCTATCCACTGGAAAAGTTGTTTCCTCGGTGACGATTTCAACACGAGTTGTCAGCTCAGGAATATCACACCATGATTTCTCTGGCACCGAGTCTTGACGTGTGTCCGTGTCGTTCACTCGCTGCACGTCTATTGTTTTCCTATCTGGTGAAAGTTGTAGTGTGTTATCTGTTGTGTCCGCGTCTTCGGATTTCACAGACGCGCGCTGTGGGCCTGCTCCTTGCACATCCCTGCACTCGGTAATTAGAGCCGGTGGGACTAATTGCTCTATCGGTACATCTGGGGACTGGTCACGGCCTACGCAGGTCTGGTGTGTAGTCGATGGGGGCTCAGTGACGTCACTACGTCCTGATGGCCAGTTAGTCTCGAACATTCCAGCTGCGCTTACATCTGCCATTAGGGGGGAAACATATGGCAAGTGTTAATTATTGAACTGATTATTGACTTGCTAATGATGGTATTACATACGTATAGCTATCATTTTATAATGCAACAAGTAATAAAGAAATGTTTGTTTTATTTTCTGTAAAACTAAACATGGATTTTTAATTCAAACAAAGTTACACGATAACACGGGGTTGATTCAAGTGAGAAAATAAAATGTAATGAAAATAATGTGACAAATCTCTTTCAATTTTTACATCTCGTGACATGCGTTGTTAGCAATTTTGATAAAACCAATTAAAAAACCATTATATTAACAATCTTTAAATACACTGAAATTAAGAATACAACTAATTTGCTTTCTTAATATAACATTTAGTTGCTCCTAAGATCCCTTACATATTTAAGAGATCAACGCTTTTGTTAATGGGTTTTACTTTCTTATTTTTAGTCCATTTAAAAGCTTGTTATAACAGTTGTTTTTATATGTTTTATATTCCACTTTTTAGACATTGGTTGAAAATTAAGTTGACACTAATTAGGCTGCCACTAAAACTTGTTTTTTTAAACACCGACCAGTAGCCTGTGATCACATAGATTCAGTTATCTGCCCTTGTTTTTTTCCTGTTCGACCATAAGGTTTGCAAAATGAGAAAACAATTGACTCAACGGCCCTCTGATCAAGCGAGTATTGCTAGTATTTAGTCTTGTTATCTCCCCTATTATAATTGTATATAGATCTAGTAATCTTTAATGAATAACCTAATGTATAATTATTCTTAAAAAAACACCGGATATCCTTGCATTGTCGTTAAATAAGAACTTATCTAGAAAGTTTGAACGAAATCGCTGCATTTAAAAGGGGTCAAAATTGAGTTACAAGATTTGCGACAAACCCACAAAATACAAATAGACGCTGTGAATTAAGTAAAAGCTTGTTTTAAAAAAAAGGAAAAAACAACAACAAAAAACGCGTACTGTAGCAAGTGTGTTACTAATATGGTTCAAGGGGCGTGGCTATGTTTCATGTGTAGGCGTGGCATGATGGTCATGTGTTAAACGCTCACGTCCTCAGCGATCAGCTCATGACAACAAAAACAAGAGATAATTAAGAGAGAAATATGAGTCGTCTGAGTGCTCACCACTAGGCCAGGTTGTGCGCGTGTTTTGGCCAGTACTCACATGCTAATGAGACGTTAAGGAACAGCCGGGCGTGAGTAGAAATAGAACCACGCTCGTAGAGTTATAGGTCCTAGCTGTGTTTAGTACACAATTTACATGAGGGTTGTGGCCCGTTGGCTTTATTTAGTAGGCAGATTAAATTAATGAGCGTTGTGAGAGTTGTATAGTAGACCAGAGTTTTAATGTAAAGAAAAACTAATTAAAACATCAATTAAACTTGAAGCACTATAGGTATATTAAACAAAAAATAGGCACGTATTTTTAAAACTGTATTTGGTTTTATTCCACATCATATACGGTATAAGTCAACTCCCTGATAAGGATTTAACTTTCTTCTTTTTACAAGATTTCTGAAAATTCCTTGTTTCGGATTTCACTTTTACACTTTACAAGATATCTTTCATTTCCCTGTTCATGATTTCTGTCAATTCCCTATTCATTATTTCATTCGATAGTCGCCTACACGATTTCATCCAGGCAGTCCACTATTAAGGATTTCAACCAAGCCAATCCCTTCAAAGGATTTCTTCCAGACCAACCCCCTATACAGGATTTTACCCAGGCTCATCTCCTATAAAGGATTTCATCCAGGCCAATCCCCAGTTAACGATTTCAGCCAAGCCAATCCCTATATTTCCCCATTTCTCACAATCCCCAACACGCACTTAATGTTTGTCTTATTCCTATCACGTCGTCTCTTATCAATTTTAATTATTCACTTTGGGCTAGAAATGTCCTTGCCCTTAGCCCTCTCTACCGCCATTACCCACGAGTTACCTTTCCTAGCTTTATCTCCCCTTACGGCTAGGCGCATGAGCAGCAATTATCCTCGCATTCTTATTTTGAACTGCTAGCATTGATTCGCCGTCACAGGTCAGCGAATCAACAAGGAAAGTGGTTCAGTCTAGCGTTGAAATGGTAACTTGGAGAACTGAACACCATAATTTTAGCCACCCCCGTACCACCATTTGAACTTAACCCATTCGAATTTGCTTTTATGTTGCGTAAAGACTTATAATAAATTAAAATTCAGTGTATTTTCAATTATATATTATTCCGCGGATTTTCTTTTTTTAAGTAAACGTGATGCTAGTATTACGACGACAAGGGGTAGATCTAGTAACCCGAGATGGGATATTTGAATAGATTTTGTTAAGGTGTGTTGACAATTGGGAACAGTGGGGGGTGGGAGGGTTGAATTAAAGTCAGGTGTGAATTATATACATCTGTGTGAGATAGTCGTGGGACACTAGCAAGACTCGTGACACAAACGGTGAATGTATTACAGGGAGGGTTACTTAAAATATCTCAGTTATTTGGGTGGCTGACGTATTTCACGCTTCGCTACACATTCATGTAACTATGTTGTCTTACACTACAACACGGATTTTAAAAAAAAAAAAAAAACACAAAAAGACAAAAACAAAAAAACAAAAAAACAAAAACACCGTATATCACACAGGCACAAACTATAGGAGAAGACTTCAAAAAAAAAAAAAAAAAGAGCAAATACAACATATTTCAACAGGAGCAAAGTACAATATAGTTGACATGACAGTAATACCACAAAAAGACTGAATGAGGAGCCGCGATAATGCCAAAACAAGACTATTTACGAGAAAACGCAAAAAAAAAAAAACCCAACCATAAGGGCCATATAGGCAAAGAGAAAAATATCAGACTTGGATGTTAGGATTCTACATGATGGTGTTCAAACTCATACGATTCTACAAGAAAAACTCCAGGCTTTAAATAAAGTAATATAGAGAATGTTCAGTACTATAAACACCGCATTCTACAAGAAATACTTCAGGCTTCAAACTGAATAATCTAGAGAATGTTCTGTGTTATAAATATCGGATTCCACAAGAAAGAATTCGGCGCATAAACCAACATAGCATACTGTGTATGGTAAACCAACATAGCATACAGTGTATGGTAAACCAACATAGCATACAGTGTATGGTAAACCAACATAGCATACAGTGTATGGTAAACCAACATAGCATACAGTGTATGGTAAACCAACATAGCATACAGTGTATGGTAAACCAACATAGCATACAGTGTATGGTAAACCAACATAGCATACAGTGTATGGTAAACCAACATAGCATACAGTGTATGGTTAGAGACGGCCGCATACTTTCTACGTCACGTAAAGGTCAAGTCTTGGGGTCGACCTCATTCGTTTATGGACATATGGGCGAATGTACAGAAACTAACCTAGTAATCTATCGTATATTCCCGACTAGACTCCCGCGGGATATGTACTTGGGGTGGCGGGGGTGGAGAGTGGGCGGGGTGGGGAGATATTACAAGGTTGCGTGGACAAGCAAAGAAAGGAGTTGAACATTTCTCAAAACACGTAAATTCAATTATTTCAGAATGACCTCCATTTGTAGTAAACATTAATTGCCTTAGGGATCGCTCATGAATGCCAGGTTTGGTGCGTGTGTGAGTGTGTGTGTGGGGGGGGGGGGGGTGTTGGATATTAGGGAGGAGAGGTGGAGTGGTGGATATTACGGTGGTGAGTTCTGACTTTTGACAATGGTGAAAATATGCAGGCTTTATGTGTCGTTTCGTAGATTTTAAAATTAGAAACAAATAAAAATTTATGCTAATTGTCTTTTGCATTAGGAAAATGGTAAAGGGGTGGGGGTGGAACTATGTGACGTCATTGAAATTGTATGAAATTGTAAGCAGGAATGAAGAAGAGTTGCAGAAATTTAGAATCGGGAATTCTTTTTTTTTTAATAAACGGAATGTCTCATGTGACAAACGTAAGAGGCGCCTCGAATTTCAACAGAAAAGCAATGCGTTTGCTGCAGAGAATGGTAGCAGACAAAAACGCTGACCATTTGTCACGTTCACGGGAAGAAAAGAACTTTGCCACGTTTATTATATAGATCTCTAGATCTATCCTAAGTCGTTTCAAAAAGTGCGACTTTAATATAATAATAATCTGAAATAGATTCGCAGGTTTATTTGGTAAATAGACCTATTTGAAATCACAACACGGCAGTTATTTATCTCTTACTTGAGAGAGTAACAATGCGAGACAAGCAAGGGAGAGCAGTGTGTAAAAGGGGAGAGAAAAGAATGGAATGTCGTCACGATTGTGTGGCTCAAGGTTGTTGTCAGTGTTGTTTTTTTAACAGTTAATTAATGATAGGTAAGCTAGAGTTGCACGGTGGCAGGGTATGTGCATTAGCTGCGGGGTTACGGTGTAGGGAGGGGAGGGGTGAAGGGAAAAATTAAGTGTTTGGGATGGAGAAAGTAATTATCACTACTAAATAACATTTCGTGTTGTGACTTAAGTGATAGAAACATGTTGGTGGAATGTACAGTGATGGAGTGAATGTGAGGACAGTTGTTGTGTGATGTGCATGTTGATGTGGGGTAATGTAACAGCATGATGTAGGCGAGGGCCGTTTATTTATTTGTCTAAGTTACAGGCAGCTATTTAGGCCTGTAGTATATGTCTAGTTCTCTATCTGAACTCGTTGTAAAAGACTTATAAAAATAATAAGTAAAACTATTATAATTAGCAGGCCTACACCTTATTAATGTTTGAGACTGATTTCCGTTCAATAATCAATGGATAGAAGTTATGTTTCTTCTTTATTCATCAAAGACATGCTGATATTACTATCTTAGAACTTGGATGTCGCCTTAGCAACCATGACCGAATAACAATTGTTTGATTACGCATATCATTTTAGTCTACATATGCCACCTCATTAAAATTACCTACAATTAGAACCTACGCTCTAATCATTATTACTTCAAATTAATTTTTTTCTTTATAAATAGAAAGAATATTCAAGGGCTTCTATCCACACATCTTCAACTATAATCCGCCTTATAAGTCCGCAACTCCCATTATGAATTTAAAATGTCACTTGGTACATTTAGTAAAATATTTTAGGACAGTGTTATCAGTTTTGGTGACCTAACGATGTGAATCCTGTCAAAACGCCCTCTGTTTATTAGCGAGCTGACGTCAAACTGTTTGCTCTTGTGGTCTAAGTTGTCAATGTTTGGTCTAGTCTGATGGACCGGTTGTGTCAACATTGGCTGGACAGATGTGTCAAAACAAAATAACAAATTGTTATACAACTAGATGTTGATACCGAATAATTGTTCCATCATTAGTTATATAGATACCAACTGTTTTGTAGCACCAGACCTTTTATACAATATATATATATATATATATATATATATATATATATATATATATATATATATATATATATATATATATATATATAATCGGCGAAATCTGTCATGGGAGAGGTGCTGCTAAGGATGCGTGTTTGTGTGTGTGTGTGTGTGAAAATGTAGGGGGGGTACCTTGACTTAAGCATCATAAAATGGGGGAGTGGTGTTCGGATCACAATGAATATCACCATTCGAGGAGACCATATTAATAACTATACATTTCTAAATTCCATGTGAAAGTTATCGCCTTTTTAAGCTAACTCAACAATACATTATATAGTTTTTTTAAAAGCCCATCTAGAACGGTTGGGGGAGGGGGTGTGTGTGACACACCTGGTTACTGCACTGGGTGTCACCCGACCTAGTGACGTGACCCTGACACTAACAAAGCTACAGAAAAATGTACAGCTTTAACAGGACGTATTCGAAATTAACCGCGACAGAATAATTTCTCTACAATATTCATCAAATCATAAAAACTTCTAACAATAAAATCTTGAAGAGATGGAACATGATTTAGACCCCCTACCGGGTCATTAGCCTATGAAAGCCTAAAAGCACTTGAAGACTTATCACTAAGCGTTTCTATGATCTCTTTGTTAAAGTCCTATCTTAAGGTGGATTAACACACTCACACGGCCCTACACCAACACTCAACAGGTCTATCCTAAGTCTATCCTAAGCTAAGCATGTCTGTAAGGAGTTTGGGAATACAACCTAGAGCATTTTTACCTATGGCAAATTTTTTAGAGAAATTTTTTTTTTAAATTGATCTAACATAAGTGTGTTAAAATGGCGGAACCAGACGCACTAAACCGTTGATTGTCACGCTCCATGACGCACCGAACATTGAAAAAGTTCAGGTCAAAGGTCACAACAGGTTGTCATGTAGATCCAACGATCGCGCGCTAGCGGCGTAACAATAGGCCGTACGTGGAGGTGGGGTGAGCCGGGAGGGCAGGAAAGTGTGGGAACCAGCCTCAGGACACAGGGAACCAATTTAGGAACACACGTAAGGACCCAGGGAACGACATTAGCGACCCCGGGAACAAACGTAGGGATCAAGGGAACCAAATTTGTGACCCAGGGAACCAAACTAGGGAAACCAACTTGGGGATCCAGTTTTATCACTAAGGGAACCAACTTAAGGGCATAGTAAGCAACTGAAGGACACAGGAAACCAACTTAGGGACCTAAGGAACCAACTTGGGGATCCATGGAACCAACTTAGGGACACAGGGAACCAATTTGGGGATCAAAGAAACCAAATTAGGTACCCAAAGAACCAACTTAGGGATCAAATGAACCAGTTTTGGGAAAGGGAACCAACTTAGGAACCAAGGGAACCAAATTCGGGACCCAGAGAAGCAACTTAGGGATCAATGGACCCAGTTTTGGGACCAAAGGAAGCAAGTTAGGGACCCAGGCAACCAACTTAGGGACATAGTTAATCAACTTAGGGACCCATTGAACCGGATTCGGGACCCAGTGAACAAATTTAGGGAACCTCAGGCGCAGAATTTCGTGCCGCGAATAAATAATGTCTGCAGCGATCGGTAATCTGGACATATTTTACGGCCGCGAATGTTATGAGAGAGATAAAGGTTGTCAGGACCGAAGATTGAAAACTCAAGTTGGATGGATCTGAGCAGTTCAACATCCAGCGTGTAGGTAATCTCCTAAATTTCTTTAACCTAAACACAATTATAGTTTGATTTTATTTCACTTACTTCAAATGTTTTTTTAATTGCCGTTTTTTTTATTATATATTTTTTATAACGACTTTAAATTTTGTCTACAATCCTGGTTAACTACAAGAGATTGAAAAAACTAGTATGAAGGATGCGTTTAGTTTTATAAGTCTTGGTAAAGGGACAATACCCCACATGTTGTAAATGTACTAGATGTTCTGAAACAGTCGGAAAAATCTTTAGTAAAGGCCGCGAGGCATAGTGCTGAATCCGTAATGCCATTATAGGTCTTAGGTATAAAAAAAAGTAAACTTTACTTTTTCTGCCCAAAATTGCCTAATTTCTAAGAGGGTATTTTACTTAGTTTATACCTAATAACTCTGTTAAAATTTCAAAACATGAAATTTCGATGTTTTAGAAAACAAACGATAATGCGACAAGGGGTAAGAAACGATAACTCACCAATTCTGTCTTGCTCCACGTAACCAGCAGGGGCGGATAACTCAGGATATCTGTTAGGTGGGATGATGATGTCCACGTATTCGCCTCCCTTGGGAGACTTCTTGCCGAGGACCACTGGACCAAAGTACGTCACGCTCTGCTGGCTCGGGTCATCGTGACCTGGACTAGTGGCAACTGGACCCTCAGATTTCACCGAGTGGCATTGGTCGGGGTGGAGCTCCTCTTCAGGGCACGATGACCCAGAGCTTGAGGAGCTTGAGGAGCTTGAGGTAGATTCACGTCTGTGGGCACTGTGCTGATGGACTTCCGTCTCCTCTGGGTCCATGTGGGGGGATTTTCCCACTTTGTCTGTGTGGGGAGAGATTACTACTTTCGCTTCGTGGAGAGATATTTCAACCTTCTCCGTGTCCATGTGGGGAATTACTCTCACATTTTCTGTGTGGAGAGAGATTTCCACCTTTTCTACATGGGGAGAGATTTCCACCATGTTTGTATCGAAGTGGGTTGTGATTCCCACTTTTTCTGTAAGGGGAGATATTACCACCTTCTCGGTATCGATGTTGGGAGAGATTCCAACTTTTTCTGTATGGAGAGGTATTACCACCTTCTCTGTGTCAATGTTGGGAGAGATTCCCACTTCTGTATGTGTAGTGATTCCCACTTTTCCTGTATGTGGAAAGATTCCCACGTCAGTTTGGGGAGAGATTCCCACCTCTTTATTGGAAGATACTGCCACCTTATCTGTGTCGATGTTTGGAGAGATTCCCACCTCTGTATATAAATGTGGTGAAATTCCGGCTTGTAAGTTCATGTTCTCGTCAATGTCCATCTTGTGTTCAATGTCCATCTTGTGTTCAATGTCCATCTTGTTTTCAATGTCCATCTTGTGTTCAATGTCCATCTTGTGTTCAATGTCCATCTTGTGGTCAATGTCCATCTTGCTGTGTTCTATATCCATCTTGCCGTGTTCAATGTCCATCTTGCCGTGTTCAATGTCCATCTTGTGTTCAATGTCCACCTTGCTGTGTTCGATTTCCACCTTGCCGTGTTCAATGTCCATCTTGTGTTCAATATCCATTTTGCTGTGTTTCCCAACCTCGACAACAATGTCGCTATCATCGCTGTCGCTGCTATCGCTATCATAGGCCGTGTGACCAGCATCGAACTCAATGCCGTCATCCACCATTCCATTCATTTTCTGACCATCATCTGTGACATCATATTCAAATCCATTTTCTTTTGTTTTTATCCCAGTGTTAAGCCCAGTAGCGTCATCAAAATGTCCGTTTATCTTTTGGTCAACACCCAACCCCATGACGTCATCGCCCGTTGCCTTACGTCCGTCGTCCAGTTCTGCGACGTCACGGCACGTCTCTACCAAAACGCCATTAGGTTTTAGCGTCACCGACACGTCGACGTTCAGCTCCTGGTCTAAGCGAGGTCCAGATTTCCCCCCGCCATTTTTCATCGTGTCCACCGTCTCGCCAACAACGGCTGTGTCAAAACTATCGGACAATGACGTCACCGTTTGGTTAGTGACGTCAGCAAGCGACGACTTTGAGTTGCTGGAGGGTAGTTGAATCTCAAACATCTCTTGACTGATGTTGTTTTTGTTCGTCTTCTTGTGACGATGTTTACGGTCGTGATCATCGGACGAGCTACTGTTTGAGCTGTCCGAGTAATGACCGCTGCTTTCTGAAGATTTCTTCTTCTTCTTCTTCTTGCTATCGTCTTTACCATCCTCTCCGTTGTCTCGCTTTCTCCATGTTTTGGAAAGTAGTCCGAAAAGTCCGCTGTGTCTTTTCTCTGTTGATTCGGATTTCGTCTTGATATCCAGGGACTTTGATTTTTTGTGGGATCTTTTGTTGGGGGTGACTTGGTTGCTGCTTGACGAACTGTCCAGAGAAACGGAAGCGGATAAAACTTGTCCGGAATCCCGCGGTGTGGTGCCTGACTTGACCGCAGGTGGCGTCACGACTGTTGGTGACGGACTTGTGTTTAAGGTCAATGACTTGGCGTTGTTTATTTTTGGAGTATCGGGAAACTCCACATCAACAGCAGACTCGTTGTAGAACTCCACACCCCCCTCTGTCGTGGTGTCTTTGTCTGATGGAAGACCGGCATTGTTCTCTCGGTCAACTTGGATTCGATCCCGCGACTGCAGCCGTCGAAACGTTCCTTTGCTTGGATTGTAGTGCGCGAATTCTTTCGACCTTCGACTTTCTAAATCGTAAAATCCGGACATTTTAATTTCTTGGATATTATGACGTCAGTTGTAAGTTGAATGTCTCAGGTCTCTACGTCACATGTTGTTCTTCACTTGACTACACTCATGCTTATGGGTTGAGGACATCGTAGCCTTGACCTTCAAGCACAGATTTCATAATTTTATTCATGAAACTCTACTTGAATTGTTAACAATGACGAAAAGTAAGTTTAGTTTTTCATGTCTGAAAATGAAGAAAAAAAAAACAAATATATAGCAAGCCAAGTTAAAAAAAAACTTAAAGGATTATTGTTTGAGTGTTTTATGTGTAAACACACGAGTAAAATAATCTAAACGTTGTGTGTATAGGCGACTATAAAACAGTAAATAAAACACTCGGGACACAGATCTTGTAATAAAATTATACAACACACCATTCGAGTCAGTGACTGAGGACTTCTTCAACACAATATGGAGTCGAGTTATTTCTATTTTAGTGCTCCAGTTCAAAGTTTACTACAACGGCTCAGTATTCGTGACCTCTATCTCTGCCTCGCTAAACAAACAGAAGACGCATTTTTTAACCTAGCTAAACTGAAAGAAATATTCCCAAACACACGTTAAATAAAAGCACTGTTTTCGCTATATTTTAGTGCATATTTTATGATGTAGATAAAGCGTATACAATTGAAATGCCAGGGGCGTTAATTTATTGTTTGACTTTATTTTATATCCCAAGGCCTCAAGGTACGCTACGTACGTTCACCAAGCAAAAAATGATTGGAAAATTATTTTTTTTTCCCGTGTAACAATATTGTCATTCTTAATTACGTTTTCTATTTAACTTTGTCGTCTGTAAAAAAAAAATTCGGAGATTGAGATAAACGCAATTTAAATTTTATTGTAGTTGATTTCTAAATTAAAAAATAAAAAGAATGAATATACTTGTTTGTTTGTTAGGGGTGCAGTGTTTCTTTCAGACTTCTTCCTCGGTGAGGGGGGGGGGGGGCAGTTGAAACTGTCGGGAGGTGGGCGGACTTAATTTCCCATGGGGGGGGGGGGGGGAGTTGGAGGCGGACACTGATAAAATTATATATGTTCTATATAAATATTCAATTTCTTCCAGGGGGGGGGGGGGTGACATTGAAAGAAAGCCTCGCTTTAGCTGTGACAAGACATACTTCAATTACCACTTTTCTCAGAAATTTTTCATCGGATGGGGGGGGGGGGTCACTTAAAATTTCCGATTGGGCACACTCAAACTTTCCGAGGGGGCGGAAATTAATAAAATTTTATTTTTAACATTTTTTAAAAATATTCATTATATTTTTTTCTCGTTTTCAACCGTCTCCTACCTCTAGCTACTTCTACTCTCACGTGAAAACCACGTGACTCGCCGTGGACGTATTCATCTCCCGGATGGTAAATGTCGCCACGGCGGATCTCAAATTCCTGCCAGCAAGCTCGAGCAGGCGACAAGTCGTATCGAGGCTACCAGCGGCCTATGCTGGCTAGCGAGTGGGTGATTTGTACGAGTGCACGGGTTTACCTGGTCAGCGGGCCTTCACGTCATGTTTTCTGGCCGTTACAATGTACGCTAATGAAGGTCACGTGGGGTAATAAACATAAGACAACATATGTCAAGAGACGCATACGGTGTATAATTAACAGCTCTATGGTTTAACAAGCACATACACAGGGCAATTAACAGCTGAAGTTTTCAGCGGGCCGGCAGTAAAGGATGTGTTTTTTCTTTGGTGGTCCGTTGTTGACAAGATGTTGGAATAATGCTGACGAGTTGTGGAAATAATGCTGACTAGTTGTGGGAATAGTGCTGACTAGTTGTGGGAATGGTGCTGACTAGTTGCGGGAATAGTAAAGACTAGATGTGGGAATAGTACTGACTAGTTGAGGGAATAGTATTGACTAGTTGTGGGAATAGTGCTGACTAGTTGTGGGAATAGTGTTAACTAGATGACTAGATGTGGGAATAGTGCTGATAATATGTGGGAATAATGCTGACTAGTTGTGAAAATAGTGCTGATTAGGTGTGGGAATAGTGCTGACTAGGTGTGGGAATAGTGCTGACTAGTTGCGGGAATAGTGCTGACTAGTTGAGGGAATAGTGCTGACTAGTTGTGGGAATAGTGCTGACTAGTTGTGGGAATAGTGCTGACTAGTTGATGGAATAGTGCTGACTAGTTGTGGGAATAGTGCTGACTAGTTGTGGGAATAGTTCTGACTAATTGTAGGAATAGTGCTGACTAGATTTGGGAATAGTACTGACTAGATGTTGAAATAGTGCTGAATAGAAGTGGGAATAGTGTGGACTACTTATGAAATACAGCCGAATGATAGCATGTGTACTTAGTCAATAGAGTTTAGAGCAATTCAATAAAAATATAGAATAGAAAAAAGATTCAGTTTGGTTATTTGTCTGTAAAGAAAATATTGTTAAAAAAGCTAGAAAATATTGTTGTAGAGTTGGAAAATGTTGTCATTACACATTAACAGTTATCAAAAAAGATGAAACAAGTATAAAAAGAACTTTGACAGTTTCGTAATGTGTCACACTGTGTCACCGGCCTGTCACGACACACTACTAACTGTAACTGGCTATCGCTAATGAGCGACCCTGTCAACACTGACTGTCAACGTAGTTCAGTGAAAGAGTTCGTTGTTCCACCGCTAAGTGCTGAAAGTTCCCAGGTCCTTTACCAGTGAAACTAGTCAACGCGGCTGTTTTGTAGCTTCACGTACCACAGTTAATGATTTGTAATTAATGATTGTTTAGTGGGGGTGTGGGGAGGGAAGGGGTGTAACGGTGACATGCTTTAAAGTAAAAAAGAAAAATGTATAGTCAATAGGGCAGATGAAGTAGAGTTCGCAACTTTGTTGTGTGACTTCTGAATATACGGATAGTAAGAGGAATTAGAATCCAGCCGCCTTTATTTCTGTATTCCAGTAAGGTACTCATTAGAGCTGGGTTGACTCAATGACGTCCTATATGATACAACTGAAATCTCTACCGTTCTACCTCACGACATGCTCCAAAATCTATAACATCCAACTTGACATTTGCATAAAAACAACTGATCATTTCTCATTAACGTTTATTTATTGGAGTAAAGGGGAGGGGGTGGGGTCTGTTTTTGATGATTCCAGTTAAACATTTTTGTTATTCCGTAATTCCGTTTCAAACTTCGCTTCTCAAAATTTAGCTCCTAGACTGCCGAATTTGATTCGGGTTTCAAATGTTCAGTTCATGAACCACTTCCCCGGCCACCTGTTACAGACTGCAATAAATATACCACCCCCACCCCACACACACAAAACTAAAGTAGTGTCATGATTTGAACTGAGTGTTTCTTTACCTACTCTCAGTATTGAAGTCATTAGCGTCGATTCTCAAACAGATTGTGTTCAGGTATAATGTATAAAGTAGGTTAAAATTTGTTTTTTTTATTTTATTCAACATGGAATGGGTGTTGGAAGTGGTTCTATTTGATAGAGAACAACACTTAATAAAACGTGCTACTTTCCGTTAGGGTTGGGGGAGGGGGGAGTGAGCAGAGTTTCTTGCAGGCATCTCTTCATGCGGTGGGGGAACTGACCTACCCCCATCTTTCGAAGCAGGTCTATATAGAAAATATAGTTTTACCAATAAACCTCCCCCCTCCCCCCCCCCCCCCCGGAAAAGTTAGCCTTCGCCCTGAGAATAAAGTCTGGAAGTGAGTTGTAAAACGTGATGTCATATTTTTCGGGAGGGGTAACAGTTGTTTTCTAATATTGTCGTGGGGAGGGGGAAGCGACTTAAAAGCGTGACTTGATTTAGCCACCCCCACCCCCACTAAACTAAACCCCGCATATCGTATGATGTTAAGTAATAGACCCTGATGGCGCATCGCATTCCCACGTCTACAGCTATACAAGTATAGGTAGGGAAAGATTTATTGTAACGATAAATGGCCCATGGGATACCAAGTCTTCGCATAAAAATGTAAGCACGCCTATGATACAGGAAATTTGTACCTAGCAGATTAATTCCACGAGTTTAAAGAGCGACCCAGCCACGCTCTGGTTAACGTTGAGTTTGTTGGTATTCATTGTGCTTTTTCTACGCTTCGCTAACCCAGGACAGCAAGTCTCTGTGCGACTACCCACATACCAGCAAACCTACGAACGTTCAGTCCTTGTACAAGATATTACCGGGTAGAATAACTACTGTGTACATTTAACTTCATTCTTACCACACTTCATTCATCTCGAAATACAAAACAAACATTACCTTGCTCGGTTATCCCCCTTATCTCTGTAAACAGCGAGATTCTCTTGAATTAAAAACATGCAACAAATCCATCGAAAAGTCCCAGTGAAAAGAAAATGTAATCACTGTTTATTTGAAGTTTTTTTTAAAGAAAAAAATATAAAAAAGTGTGATTTTTATATATCCGAATTAAAATAAACCCATTGTGGTGTTGAAAACAAATGAGGTAGTAGAACTATAGCTCGCGTGTTTATGAGTTAGTTGTGATACGGTCGAAAGGTAAGAAGAAATCCATTGGATGAAACAGACGGATACGCATCGCGCCGACACTCTTATACGTTTCATGCTTGAACTCAGGCGAAATTAACGAAATAGTGGAGCAGGCGCAGTCCCCCCTCCCCTCCCCCTAAACGCCCCGCCCCACATTTTGGGACATGCGCGAAACGTAATCTGTGCCCCTCTCTCCCCGCATCTGACCACAGGATTCAAGTGGCCCGCAACCTCAGGCTCGCCTTCTGTGGGAGAGGGTCTACGGTTACAGTTGGTCTAGTTGATATGGGGAGGTACAGTTGGTCTAGTTGATATGGGGAGGTACAGTTGGTCTAGTTGATATGGGGAGGTACAGTTGGTCTAGTTGATATGGGGAGGTACAGTTGGTCTAGTTGATATGGGGAGGTACAGTTGGTCTAGTTGATATGGTAAAGGTACAGTTGGTCTAGTTGATATGGGGAGGTACATTTGGTCTAGTTTATATGGGGAGGTACAGTTGGTCTAGTTGATATGGTAGAGGTACAGTTGGTCTAGTTGATATGGGGAGGTACATTTAGTCTAGTTGATATGGGGAGGTACAGTTGGTGTAGTTGATATGGGGAGGTACAGTTGGTCTAGTTGATATGGGGAGGTACAGTTGGTCTATTTTATATTGGGAGGTACAGTTGGTTGAGGGTCTACGGTTACAGTTGGTCTAGTTGATATGGGGAGGTACAGTTGGTCTAGTTGATATGGGGAGGTACAGATGGTCTAGTTGATATGGGGAGGTACAGTTGGTCTAGTTGATAGGGGAGGTACAGTTGGTCTAGTTGATAGGGGAGGTACAGTTGGTCTATTTTATATGGGGAGGTACAGTTGGTCTAGTTGATATGGTAGAGGGGTCTACGGTTACAGTTGGTCTAGTTGATATGGGGAGGTACAGATGGTCTAGTTGATATGGGGAGGTACAGTTGGTCTAGTTGATATGGGGAGGTACAGTTGGTCTAGTTGATATAAGGAGGTACATTTGGTCTAGTTGATATGGGGAGGTACAGTTGGTCTAGTTGATATGGGGAGGTACAGTTGGTCTAGTTTATATGGGGAGGTACAGTTGGTCTAGTTGATATGGGTAGGTACAGTTGGTAGAGGGTCTACGGTTATAGTTGGTCTAGTTGATATGGGGAGTTACAGATGGTCTAGTTGATATGGGGAGGTTCAGATGGTTTACTTTATATGGGGAGGTATAGATGGTCTAGTTGATATGGGAAGGTATAGATGGTCTAGTTGATATGGGGAGGTATAGATGGTCTAGTTACAGATGGTAAAGGGTCTACGGTTACAGCTGGTCTAGATAGTCTAGTTTACATGTGGAGGTACAGATGCAGTGGTGTTTTAAGGAGGTACTGACGTGTGTGATGTTTGGGGAGGTATTTATGTTACAGATGAATTGGAAGTTAGGCTGTGTATGGTTAAATTGCATAATTTTGTTATTTGAAGTAGAGATAATTTCAAAGTTTGTGCCAATATGTGGAGGTATGTGTGTAGCCTGTATGTTAGATAAAAAATACATTGTAAGTTTTGGCTATGACGTCAGCTAATTTAAAACGAGGGCACAAACGTAAACAATATCTGTTGATTTATAACCCAAAAACGTATACGACAAGTCGGGGTCAGGGAAAATGAAGTTTAACCTTGTGCTTATAAACATTATTTCCTATTAGGTGTTTAAATAAAAATCTTCAAATTTTTCTGCGTTGGTCAAATGGTAGAGCATACGACTGCTGATCGGAAAGTCTCGAGTTCGAATCCGGGTTCAAGTCTATGAGTTCACCCAAGTCTAATGGATACCTAACTCACGTTAAGGGAAAGAATGGCTGACCACTCAACCCTTAATATGCTGAGGTCACACAAACAGCTGTACTCTACATCACCTGCCACATGGACCGTTAGGTTCGAAAGGGGCCATTACCTAGTTTAATTTCAGTCTTCTGTGTAAACATCCAGTACAAAATATAAGTGAGGGAGCTTTGAAACTACGTTAAAGAGGGGGAGGAGGGAGGGGGAGAGGAGAGGAGGTACTCTGGGCGGAGTTAAGATGGCTACTTAGCAGTATGTCGGTAATATAATACCCCAAATTCATTTTGTTTACAACACATTTTGCCCGCAATTCTTAAGGATATATATATATATATATATATATATATATATATATATATATATATATATATATATATATATATATATATATATAACTTACAAAACTGGCAACCGTGACATAAGCACAGAACACCCCCCCCCCCCAACCCCACCTCAACATCGTGATGTTATTCCTCACTATGCCCGCTTACAGTGCAAGAAACATTTGACACTATTCTTTGTAGACTGATATATTGTATTCACTGGCATTTGTCGTTGAAGAGGTAACGTGTTTGACACTTATGGGGGGGGGGGGGCTAAGTGTGTGTGGGGGGGGGGGAGCATGATGCAACTATAGTGATACAATGGTAGAGTGAATGGGCATGTGAGTGGGTGATGGGGGGAGCGGTAGGGTGGAGGGATAAGGGGACAAGCATGATGCAACTATTGACAGAAATACCAGCATGTACAAACCGTAGGGGCGGGGTCCGTTATGTTATATTGTTTACACCGGCTAAGGTCTATTAAGTTATATTATTCACCAGAGGGGTGGGGTCCGTTATGTTATATTGTTTACGGTGAAATGGGATCCTTTAAGTTGTATTATTCATCATAGGGGTGTGGTTTAACATATTCCGTAGTTAACCAGAGATGTTGATTCCGTTATATTAAATAGTGTATTGAGAGGTGAGCTCAATTATGTTATATTGTTTACACCGGGTAAGGTCTATTAAGTTATATTATTCACCAGAGGGGTGGGTTACGTTACGTTATACTGTTCAACAGAGGGTGGGGTACGTTACGTTATATTGTTCACAAGTGGGGTGGGATATGCTACGTTATATTGTTCACAAGTGGGGTGGGGTCGTTACGTTATATTCTTCACAAGTGGGGTGGGGTACATTACGTTATATTCTTCAAAAGTGGGGTGGGATATGCTACGTTATATTGTTCACAAGTGGGGTGAGATATGCTACGTTATATTGTTCACAAGTGGGGTGGGGTCCTTTACCTTATATAGCTCACCAGTGGGGTGGGGTCTAATATAATCGACTGTTTATCTAAAAGTGTGCAACAGAATACTTGTAACCTAGCCGGATACACTGTAACAAATAACATTGAAAGTTTAAGACATCACAAGCCAGTATGTTCGTCCTCTAGTAACTGCTTTCATTTCAGTTAGAGACACAAAGAAAGGATAGAAGAGTGTTGTGTTTTTAGCGCAATTTCCATTCTGAGGAATTGCGTTTATTAACCCGTCATTTCTGGATGTATGAATGGATGGATGTGTGTTCGCAGCTTTAAGTCGTATCTCCTCCTCAACGAAGCAATATCGAGGACTAGTTCCAAAGCAAATTTGTTAAGCAAGTTACGAGGATGATAGTGGGCCAAAAAAATTCCGGAATTCCTTCCTGGATTTCACGGAAAAGCCAAAAAACCTCGAAAAAATGCAGTTTTTGGCCCATATCTCGGCAACCAGACCACTTAGCGACTTGAAAAATTTACCAATCGATTCCTGCCATAATTTAGAACAATATTGCCGAAGAAAGTTTTCAAAAATATTCTTTCGTTCGGTCACAAAAAAAATATTTAAACTTACATTATACATAATACACTACAGTACTGTATAGCAATTTGGACCGAATTAGTAGGCATGTTTATCCAACCACACCACACGCGTCATCACGTTCAATAGCTGCGCCATCACGTTCAATGGCTGCGCCATCACATTCAGTAGGCGCGCAATGGTTTTTAGTCATATAACTCTATTGTTTTAAAAAAATGTGAAAAAATGATTAGGCCTAGCGAAACAAAACCTAGTAATTGTAACTCCCTATCACTCTCATATAAATTATAAATAAATTAATAGGGTACAAAAATAAGGAAATTGCGCTTAAATTGTCACTAGACTTTTTAATTAACTTGTTTTAACAATCCGGCCAGTGCTTTCTGTTGCTAGTAGTTGTAGATGTTGTATGTGGTTACAGTTTGCTCTATGTTAGGTAAAGAAAAGTTCCCATTTTTAAAAAAAATTGACAGTCCTTGGTGCAGGTGATGTAGTGTTAACCTGTCTGTGTGACTTCAGCATATGAAGGGATAGTTTGGTCAGCACTATGACCAGCCGCATTTACATTCCATAACATTTGTTAGGTATCCATTAGAGCTGGGTCGACTCAGCGACGTTCTACTGGCTTTCACCCGATTCGAATTCGAGGCTGTCGGGTTAGCATATAGCAGTCTAACGCTCTAGCGCTAGGCCACGCTATGCCACGGTAGGTGGCTTGATGTTTTCTTTGTTTTCTTTTATCTAATGGTGACACAAGGCCCTACAAACTAATACTATTCTCGAATGGTATCATAAAATACCTTATATACTTATATTTGCGAAGCCGTATGGTACATTTTTATCACGCTTGTGTCGATTTTCAATTGTCGGACCAATTAATTCATTTGAGCTGACATACACATTCGTTATTTTATGTTCTAAAAACGGAGTAAGCAATTTTTTTTTTCAATTACAATCAACTCCTGTCAGATGAGTGGTTTCAGATTTAATACCTGCTCACCTTAGGGGGGCGGGGGGGGGGGGGGCTAGGTGTTTAGCTCATTGGTTATATATTTAACAGTACACCGATTGTTTTTGTCTTAAACATATTAAACTCTATTGAGGTTGTTTAATAATTTGAAATCATTTGTTGACCTACTTGTTCTGGCGGAAGAAAAAAAAAACGATAATCCATTACTGAGCTTTGTTACGTTCGTGACAGGTAAGGCTTGATAATGTCTATTGTTATGTACTACGTCACAGCTGTGGGCTGTAGAGCGTTTGTACCATAACTCATACATGCTTGATTGTGTAAAGATATTTCAAGATTTTAAGAAGTAGTGACGTTGTACGAGTCGGATTAACCTGTACGGTCGAACGATCGTGGCTACTGCCGCGCGTGCCTCACTACAGACGAGG